CCACATTACATAAACTCTCATCCCTCTGTGCACTGCACCAGCCCTGCTGCACTGTGTGGGGTCCCTGAGGTCTCCCAAGCCTCCCAGACAGGCTTCCTTAGCTCTGGGCTCCCCTGCCTGACTCTACCCTGCAACTGGCTGGGATAGGCAGTGGAAGCAGGAAAAAAGATGGAGAGACTAGAGACTCCAGATGCAGCAGCTGGAGCAGTGAGGAGAACATCCCCCAGAGCAGGAGACCAGGAGCTGCAGCTTAATCCTTTCAGCCTGGATTCAGCCTGCAAGCTGTCAGTTGGAGAAGTCAAGTGTAAAAAGGTTGAATACCTTTGGAATACATAACCATAATAATAATTTTTGCGCCACCTCCATAGAGGTGTCAATTAATTATCCATTTAGCTTATAACAACTATTTAATATGGCTAAAATATGCACATTATTAAAGGATGAGACTAAATAGTTCTATGACATGTCCAATATTTTTTTTTTTAATCTTAATTCCTAAAGAAAACCCCAATACCCTCTCACTTATATACAAAGGGTTCATCTACCTGAGATATTTACTGTGGAGTTACATAATTAGTTCCACAGTAAACATCTTGGTATCTACATGTGCAGCCCTATTAAGCCACAGGAAACTAATAAACTCCACAGCGAGTTAGTATTTGTAAATACAAATACTATTCTGCCGCAGAATTTTTTGTGTGCACAGAACTGCATGTGTAGGTACTGTTGCAGCAGGCTGGGGAATGAGGGTGCTTCAGTGTGGGGGCTGCCTGCTGGTTAGCCCTGCACTAGAGCATTCTTGTGCCCCAGCCAGCCTCTCCACAGCACATTGAACCAGGTCAAAGCATCCCTGGGATGGCAGGCTGGCCCCCTACCAGCCAGGGCTGCTCTGACCTGACTCAACATGCTGTTGGCCCAGGCACACATGTACACACAGTGCCTACAAGTAATAAACTACAGTGCAATATGTACCAGAATTTATTGCTGCACATTAATATGCGTGTTTAGATGCACCCCAAGTGAAGTAACCCTAATACAGCAAACTTGGGTGTGCATACTATGGGGATAATGGTCTATTAAGAAAGAAGTTTCAGCTTCAAGACTGGGTTATTAGCAGGGATTCTGGTTTTCTCTGATTAAAAATAATCACAAATTCTCTGACAAGAAACCATGAATTCTCAGATAACCCCCCCAAAATCCATTATTAAAATTAAAAGCCCCCTGCAGCCCCTCCTAACCCTGCTGGTGCCCCTCACTCCCCACCCCCGATGCCTCCCCCAGCCCTGCTGGTCTACCTCACTTGCCCCCAAAATGCCCCAAGCCTTGCTGGTTCCCCTCACTTGGCCCCGAAGCCTCCCCCAGCCTGGCTGGTGCCCCTCACTCACTCCCAATGCCTCCCCCAGCCTGGCTGGTGCCCCTCACTGCCCCCAGAACAGCCCCCTCATGCTACTCATGCCTCTTACCCCCTGCCAACAGCCCCTGTACCCCAGCCCTGCTGGAGGGGACCCCCAGCTTCCAGGGTTATGGGGCCAGGGACCCAAGTCTGCAGCTCCATGCTCCCAACAGAAGGCAGCTGCAGCAGAAGCAGCATGGAGCTGGTTCTCCCACTGCCGCTGCTGGCTCAGGCAGGGGCAGGGCTGGCACCAGTTCCTGGCTCCCCTTAGCCCTGCTGGTGCCCCCAGCCATGATCTGCAACCCCCCAGACCTGCCAGAGGGGCTCCCAGCCCCTCCAAGCCCAACTTATCTCACAGGCTCCAGGAGCAAAGAGTGAGGTTAAGCTGAGCCGAGCATGACTGACTGAGAGCCTCAGGCCCCACCTCTCTCCCTCCCCTCTGCCTCTGGGCAGGGCTGGGGTTTTCTGCCCTGTTTGCAAACAGCTCTTGCAGGCTGGAGCTCAACCAGCCTGCAGAGCTCTTTGCAAAAGCAGGGAATCCACAGGTTTATCTGCTAAAAGAAGAAATCCACATTTTCTTTGATAAAAAGGGGGATTCCATGGTTTTCTGGTTTTCTGTGGCAAATGTAAACCTTGGATGCCTGGTTATTAGCCTTGTGAAAATACTGGTTTATAAAATAATGCAAAATAACATAAGTATATCTTAAAATGTGTGTAATTCCCTTCATCTATGTGCATTAGGGCCGTGTGAAGCTTTGGTCCCTGATTTGATTTGACAGCCAAATTTCCAAATCCAAATTGAATCAGAACACTTTAATCTCTCAAAATAGAATCAGAAAACTCCAAATTGATTTGGAGAAATTTGGAAAGATTCAGAGATTTGGACATAGACACAGCTTTAATTGTTTTCTCTACAAACCTCAAGGTAGCAGGCATCTCGTGAATTCTGTGATTGTGGGGCAGATGGAGCAGCAGTCCCAGAAGTACTTCCAGTTCACTTCTGGGTCTGCTGGGGTGTGCATTGGGCCCCCTCCCCCACCTCTGACTTGGCAACTAGTGCCTCCTGGGTCTGAGGGGGCACCTGGTTTCCTCCGTGGCTGATCAAGCTGGAGAGGATGTGGGGGGGGCCCCAGGCATGCTCTCTCATGGACCTGGAAGTGGACCAGAAGTATTTCTTAAAATGTATGTAATTCCTGGTCCACTTCCAGGTTCACTGCTGAGCATGTGGGCGGGGGGGGGGGTCCTCCGTGCTCCTGTGGGATGCTCCATCCGCTCCACTATCACAGCGTTCATACCTAGTACCTCAAGCTATGTAGAAAAAACATTCAAAGCTGTGTCTATGACCGAATTGCTGATTTTCCTAATCAGCATCGAATCTTCAGATTCAGATTCAGCTAAATAAAATCAGGGACAGTGATCCAAATCAACAAATCGAATCACTGTCCCTGATTCAGGCTGAATCCTATTCTAAATTTAATACGGCCTGTTTTACACACCCATAATTTGCATATTATGCTTTTCTTACTCTCTGGCCTAAGAAGCATTGTTCTTTGAGTAAGAACTGTTGACATGCAGGAAACAAAATGTGCAATTATATCACCTAAAGATTTTATTGCTTTTTGGTTGGTTTTCTTTGTTTGTTTGTTTTTTGCTTTGTACAATTTTAACAATGTATTTATTCTCATAAGATCTACATATGTTTCTTTCTCTCTCTTAGGTAACACAGCAAAAGTGTTCATTGAGGTGCAGGATGAAAATGACCATGCTCCTGTCTTTACCAAAAAACTCTATATTGGAGGAGTGTCTGAAGATGCTAGAATGTTTGCTTCTGTGCTTAGAGTTAAGGTAAGAGTCACCTTATTTCAGTACATTTCACAGACCTAAGAAAAGAACATGTGCCCTGGATTGAATATCCACAGAAGGTTTCAGTAGATATTCCTCCAAAATTACTTGAGCTGTTTAAGTTATCAAAACCCACACTTCACTTGTACAGTGATTGTACAGATAGTAATTATCTGAGAAAACTGCCCCCAAAACAAATTAAGGTTATAAATCAGGTATTGCAATGTACCTCTTTATTGAGCCTGTGCCCAGGTGGCCAGTGGCAGTGCAGAAATTGGGTAGGCAGCATGTGGTTGTGAGGGAGGTCAGGCAGGTGTGGGGACCCCCTCACACACACTTCTCCCATACCGCACAGCCCTGGCAGGTAGTGGCAGCATCAGCAGGCAGGGATGTTTAAGGTGCTCTGCCCAACACAGGTGTTCGTGCTGTGTGGAATGTGGCTCTGGCCAGTGCTGCACATTGTGGGAGAGGTACAACCTCCGCCAGGTAGTCTGTATCACCAGCACTCCCCACCATGCACGCACAGCCTTCACACTTACACTGCATGGGTGGGAAGCCCCAGGCACTGGAGCCAGCTGCCTTCTCTGCCCTCCAGGGGGAGGCACCTGGGGCTTCCCTCCTGTGCTGCTTATCCCCAGTGTTTGACTTTTAGTATGTGATTTAGTTTTTTCTGGTTCTAAGTTGGCAGCCCCCCCTCCCAAAAGGAGTATTTCTGGGGGGCAAAGGGGGGGGGGGACTTCCAGTGGCAAAGGTCAGGGGTTAGGGATAGGACTTCTGGTCCCAAGATGGTGGGGCAACTTTCAAGGGGTAGGGCTGCCCATGCAGCCCTCAACAGCTCAGCAAAACTCGGTCAGTGGTCCTCTATCTAAAATAATTGCCTGCCTCTGGAATGTAGCAGATCTTAGACGTTTCCTTCACCTCTTAATATTAGCTTTTACCTAATTTTTTTCTCAAGCATTCTTATGAAGCAGAATATTTATGTTCACATAATGAAAGGAAAGACAGCTTCTATTCCAGTTCATGAAAATAATTTCAGATCCTTGTATTGCATGGTATAAATTTGAAAGGGGCTATAATGAATTAATAGAATCATAGAAAAGGGCTGGAAGAGACTTCAGATGGCCATATTATCCAATCACCTGCTATGGTATAGGGCGAATAACTGTACAGAGCAGGGTGCCTGACCTCCATCCCACAGGCCAAATGTAGCCCACAGAACCTTGGAAACTTCTGACCTGTGGAGCTCCCCACAAGTCAGGAAACTTGGTGGTAGGAGAGCAGTGGCAGTACTGTCATCCTTCCCTGCTACCAAAATCCCAAGCCCTGTGAGATAGGTAAGAGCCAGGCCATGACCCTCCCTTCACATGGCCAGATTGGAGCCAGGACTTGCCCCTTTCACTCTGCATGGCTGGGTTAGGGCTGGGCACACCCCCTTTTTCTAACAGGGCTGAGCCATGCCCCCTTTCATCCAGAAGACCAGGTTGGGGCTGGGCCATTCCCCCTTCCTCCAGTGTGGCTGGGTCACACCCCTTCCTCTCATTTAGCTGGTTCCACACCCCCATCCCCCTCAGCCAAGTTGAGGCCATGGACATAGGGTCAAGACATGCCCCCTCCACCCATGGGGCTGGATAAGGGCCCTGTTAAGACCCATTCTCCCACACAGCTGGATGATGGCTATGCTACCCTCCCAACCCTATTCTGTATGGCTGGATGGGGCCACGCCGTGCATGCCCTCAGCACTGGATTGGGTTCACCAGCAGGATACAGCCTATGGAGGGACTGGGCACTGATCATCTAGCCTGCCAGACAAAAAGTTTGATGACCACTGGTGTAGAGTAGATTTTTTTTTTTTTTTAGTTAATTGTGTTTGGGAGAGAAAAAATACCAAACTATTAACTTTAAATAAAGGATACATTAAAACTGCCATGGTATAAGTCCTATGTAATAATATGTGGTCGTACAAGTTTGATTTACCAAGGCCAGTTCAAGTTTTTATTTTCTTTCATTTAATTAACCTCCACATGGCTTCTGTATTTTGTTTCACATAACTATCATGGAATAGCCTAAAATTTGCTGATTCTAGCTTATTTACAAGATGGCACAGAATTTGACCTTGCAAGAATGTTCCCTTATTTTGACCTGGCAATTTATTTATAACACTGGAAATCTAAAACAGAATGACAAAAGCTGATTAAAGCTGTTCATTGTTTTCCTCAGGATACTCCTTCATAACGTTAGGTCATAGTTATTAAAAAATTGGAAAACAGGTGAAAACTGACAATCAGGAAGGGCTGTCTCTCTCTGCTGGACTGCTTTGGTGACATACAGTAGCTCTATAGTTGTTTTAAAGGGAACAGCTATGCATTTCCCTAAGCTACAAGAGGTAAATTCTGCGGTCTAAAAAGATATCTTAGTCTGCTTTTTGCCCGTCCTTCCCATTATACGTATTGTATCCTGGACCAATGTACACTGCCCTCCAGTGATTTCTGTTTTTTTGGTGGCCGTTGTTTCCTGCCAAAAATTAACCTTCAGGCTTAAATTGCATTAATAGATTTGGAGAAATGTAACTGTTGCTTAATATGTATGTTTGCAGTGCTTCAGTCAGCTTAGAAATGGTACACCTAATCTAAAGTTAGAATTAATTTTAGATTAAGATGGGTTAACCTGATCTATTGAACAATTGTATATATTCTAAACCACTCTTCACAGCCCTGGGTCTGTGCTGCTTTTACCTTCTGCCCCCCTGCCCCTGCCCTGGGACACTGACCAGCCTATTTTTAATCTATATTCCCTCCCCTCCTCCACACAATTGTCAGCCTCCCCCCACCCCTCAACTTACATGGAGTGATGAATACTTGCATGTGGCAACCCTGACTCTGGTTTAGGCAGTTTAAACTAAGTCACTTAAACCAACAGATCTGGGTTCCACAAATGTGTGTTTTTTTTCACCCAGTGGTTGCCAAGGGTCTAAGACAATTTGCTCTGTACTTGAGCCCTGCCCAGTTCTGACTCACCTCATGAGTAGGCATAATTAAATATTTGATGGTACAAATACTTGTATAGAAATCATAGAGTATGCTTAGAATAGGATCAGGAAAAGTTATTCTTATTAAGTCACCAGTGTACTTTTAGAAAAGTATGGAAGCTAAGGAGGAGCTCCATGTTGAAAGGGAAGTTTCTAAATAATTGTAGAAGTCAGAAGCATTCGTAGTAAAAGAGTTAATAGCAATGAGAAGGAGCATTGTAAAGACAAGTTAACAGTCATCCAAAGGCTTCTGGTAAAGACTAATTCTAATGAGAAATTTAAATCAGCAAGACGCAAATTATGGTACACTAGGGTGGAAATGATCTATCATTTTATACCTGTGGGATGCTTCCTAATGGGATATATGAAGAAGGGCATTATAATATGAGTAATAAAATAAAATATAATGAATAAGAAAATATAACTAAATTGAGAGAGACATTTTTGAATGTAGCAGTTTCTAAATATATTTCTAAATTACAGCAACTGAAAGTTTTTCATCCACGAGGTCTGAATGCTCAGTTTTGGGCAACTAAGGTCCCTGCCTAACATTACATATAATATGTAATTGACTGGTTAATTGAACAATACATTTACACTGGCCACACATGCAAAGTAAGACCAACTACACATGCAAAGTAATTATCACACCATAAAAATTTCTATTCAGCTATAAAAAAAAGCTAACCAGCTACAAAGTTAGGGTTTAAAAATGTATAACAACTCTACAGCGGTTTCGGTCTGGCTTTAATTTGGACCCATGGAAGGGCCCTAAGTTTTGACGTATAACAAAATTTTAATTTATGAGCACAACAAACTGCACATCAATGAAGTTGGCTATAATTGGATATTTATATATCTGAATCATGCAAAATGCACTTTAGACTTACAAATTAAAGATTTGGTATCAGTGAAATTGTAGACATGGGAAACTGTTAAATATTTGAACTTTAGACAAGCTTATGATACATCTCTCTTGTCTTGGTTAATCTATCACACTGCTTGCTTGCCTTGGTAATTTAAGAAAAGTAATGAAGTCTCAGATTACCAAAACACATGGATTTAAGAGAGATTATAGTGTTGTAGCCGTGATGGTTCAGGAAATATATAGGACATGAGGGTTCTTTTGTGACATTTTTTCATCAGACTTCATCATTATATAGTTGGAAGAGCAATTAGACTTTTAACTTTTTAAACTTGGATTTAAGGGTATTTGTGAGTAGAAAGTGCAATGGGAAGGAGCAAAATTTAGAAGAATAAAAAATTTAAGATTTAGTGTAAAATTATTTTATGTACAAGATAATATTAAATCCTGATTTTTACACAATAGTACTTGTACCTTATTTATTCAAAGGGGCTCCTGATTTTCTACCACTAGATTCCAGGCATAGGCATTCATAGTCATCAGTGAGGTGGATTTGGAAGTACATGAAAATGTCAGACTTAGAAGGGAAGAATGAATTTAGTGTGTTCTCATTCATGCCTTATGGTTACTGACTCAGAAAATGTGACCTGAAGATAATAATAGATATCCAAGTAAAATTAAAATACATACAACACATACATATACAATTAAATGGTTTTACCCTACAATATTTGTATTTAACATAGAGAGGTAATGAATAGGGGCTTTTTTGGTACAGTAAATCAAACCTACAAATTGGATCAGTGTGATTTATTATTGGATTTTAGCACTAACAGTCAACTTTTTGAATGAGTACTAATTAGCTCATTTTACCTTGTCTTCACTTGTTCTAAGGAGATACAAAAAGAAATTCCTTTATTAGTTCCTTATTAGATAAGTCCAATATAAAATCCAATTAGGGTGTTACAAAGCACTAATAAAATGAATTAGATAAAACTGTCTAATCGCACTAGGCATTACATGGAGAGTCAAGGTGAGTAGAATTTAATGAATATTTCTTCCCATTCTGAATTTTTCAGAACCATAGAAAGTACTAATATTGCTTGAGGTATT